TTATTTATTTATTAATTTTTCATTGTTTCTATGCGCGAGAAAAATTAAGAAATTATTCAAATGAGAAAACTATTCCCGATTGCATTTCAGTGGGATAAAAGTTTAACACTAATTTACAACCACTTAACGAATAAATTAACATTCCGTTGCAGCACAGCCTCAACAATGATGGCAGCGGCAGCAACATGGACTTGCAACTGTAGTGAAGGAGGAGGATGTCAGAAGCGACCATCCGAAAACCTTCCCAGCAACAAGCTCATTAACTGCCACAAAAGTAAACAACAGATGAAGTAAAAAAAATAACGAATTTGTGACAACAATGTAGACTAGAATCCCCGGCTGGTACAGTTGTGATGTAGCGATTGTCTCGACCATCTCTTGAAGAGTACGGACTCACTGGCTAAGTTCTCACCGTGGTTCACCTTTGTTCAAGTGTGAACTACATTTGCAACATCTACCATATTGCTCTGTCTACCTTGTCATATGCCTGTACTCAGTCCATAAATGCAACAAGTAGTTTCTTACTCTTATCTAAGTATTGTTCACATGTGTGTCTCAATGAAAAAACTTACATGCTTCACCCTCCCCGGATACTCTTTGTTCTTCTTCAGTCTTACTCTCGCCATATCCCTAACTCTTTCAATAGTTATACCGTACTTATTACCCGATATTCTCATAAAGTTTATTTCCTTATTGAAATGAACTATACTTTTTTATTAACACATCTGCCGTTTCCCACTAAGGCAGGGTGGCCCAAAAAAGAAAAACTTTCATCATCATTTACTTCATCACCGTCTTGCCAGAGGCGCACTTACACTACAGTTATAAAGTCGCAACATTAACATACGAAAAAAAAACACTAGAGTTACATCATCACTTACTTTTAACATCCCAGTCCTAATTCCATCTGTAGAAACTACTTACTCCACCCCACCTTTCATTCACCCTCAGTGTTTCATGAACATCTCGCATCCAACTCTTACTCTAAGCCGCATAATTCTTGAATTTAATTACACATATCCCGCCTTCCTTACTGTAGTTGATCATTTAATATCACTACTCATTCTTTAGCTCCAATTCTCTGGCATACACCCAAATTAACCTCATTTATTCCTTCCCACTGAAATACTCCTACTTATTTTCACTTTGTTTTCCTTAGTGCTAGAGCAACCAGTTTTTTTTTCCATAGCATTAAAAATTTGTTCATTCTTATTTGTACTTCCTGTTGGAAGTGTGCAACGTATCTCCACTGGTTAGCAGGACTCGAGTCCGGCTAACCAGTGGAGATATGTCGCAGTATTTTGACTGCAGTGTAAGTGCGCCTCTGGCAAGACAGTGATGACATGAATAATGAAAGTGTTTCTTTTTCGGTTCATCCTACCTTGAAGGGAAAAAGGAAATGTGTTAATAATAATAATAATAATAATAATAATAATAATAATAATAATAATAATAATAATAATAATAAAAAGATATTGTACGTAGAGGTAAAATGAATTGTCAGATGACATAAAAGAAATTAGAGAAATCAGAAGAATAAAAGAAACTTGAAAAGAAACGTGGAAATAGAGTAGAATGGAAGAAAAGACGAAAATTCTGATAATTAATTTTTATATAGATGTTTACCTAGCTACCAACTTTTCCAATTATGATTCATAACTTAAAAGTTTTAAAACAAGTTGTAAACCCTAACAATACTCGCAATAAACTGAACCTCACTGATAAACCAATAAACTGATAGGAAGGTGGCAGAATCACCACACTTCTACTCGAGTGAATTTTGCCAATTATGACAGGATTAAATCCACTCACTCTAAGCCATCCCTGAAAAGTATCGTCAGGAGCTGATTATTGAAGAGATGAACGGACGTAAATTTACCTACGAAAAAGAAAAATTCATTGGAATCTCGTGGAAGAAATTCGAAGGATGAACGTGGTAGTTGTGACATCACTGAATATCGAGTGAAATGTGTTGGTCTCAGAATATTACACGAGTTAATATTAGAGCATCCCAGATATATTTGTGGAACCACTGAATCAAATGTATGGGTACCAACACTGAAATCGTTAGGGATAACAGTTACCATAGAGGGATGGAGAAGTATACACTATTGTCACATGGAAGCTGATTTTGTAGTCATAAAATAAATCATAGTGATAGAATTAGTAATAAAAGTTACGAGGGTGCTTGTTATTTAGTCTGTACATGATTGATATTTAGTTTTCAGGAGCTGTGTTTTAGCATGGATCTTAACCATGAGATGACCAGTTCGTGGTCATCTCATGGTGAATCTAATATAGGTAGCTACTGCATCATCACCTGTTGAGTCGGCGCTATTAAGGCAGAGGACGTTATGGGACCTCTGGGTCTTTCCTAAGCCCCTGTGAATACTACTGCAAGAGTTTGATGGACTGCAGTGTGTTGAGGGCATCTGTGTATGATGGTCGGGGAAATTTGCTAATAACTGCTTGGGTTTTGTTTTCTTCATCATGTATATATTACGTATAAAGTTTCACGACGGTTCTGAATACCCATATTTTCTAGAGTTTCTCTCGGGTCGCATATGAGACGCTGAGAAGAAATTTGACGAATTCGCCTTGGAGCGAAAATTGTATTTTTATACTAAAATGTTCATTCTTTCAATTATCGTATATATCACTCAGACTGACGAGTCTGTCGCTTTTTGTTCTGCCTTTTCCCACGAGGTTGTGCCTGATAAACTCAATGAACTCTCCGTACCACCTTAAAGCCCATTAAATTTGTTTTAAAATTAGACCAGTTTCATCGAAATTATATGGCTGGTTACCGAGACATTGTTGAAAGTACGTTGCAAAAGTTTATACGCGATTTTCTCAAATGTGATATATTGCGGATTCGTAGTTTTCTTTGCAGCTCCTCAGTTATGGCCTCAGTGAAGGTTGTGACTGTCGACAACGTTTAGAGGCGTGGCTGGCACTGTTCTCTTGGACTATGGAACTCGCCACTAGTGACTATTTGTTGGGTAGATGCGTAGGCGGTAGCTCCTTCTCGTAGCACTGAGTCTGCTCTTGTACGGCGGGAGTTTGAGCGGCAGTGCCTGGAGCTTGCTAAACAAGGGACTAGCGCTGTCAATAATTTTTCAAGGCATATTCTGTCGGTGAGGCAGGGAAGGTGCCTCTGTGTCCCGTGATGCTGGTACCTCCTCAGATTTTCTGAGGAGGAACAGGCCCGCATCAACACGCTACCTTTCCACTGAGAAAACTTTCCCTCAATCCACCTGTTGCTGTTCATGCATGCCTATATATACACAGGGTGTTTTAAAAAGATGGACCCAACCCATTTCTGTTATTGCTGTTCTTGCTGCTGAACAGCGGTTTAGTGCCGATGAAGGTAGCGTAGGTAGCAATGATACGGCCGTGGACTAGATTGGCTTTAATCGGGTAGGAGTGAGTACACAACGGGCAGTGTGAGGAAGTGACCGCAAGCCAGTCCGTGGAGGGGGAGTACTTGTGTACGACAAGTCGGTCGAGGCGGGAGTGAGAGAGGGTGGACTGTGCGTCCCACCGACCTAGGTAGGCCTACAGAGGGCAGCACTGAATGCCGCGAAATATGAACTAGTCAGAGCAGACGGCTAGGCTGTGTGCTCTGACAGTACAGGCTGTCTACATTTCATCACAACACTAAATTCTACACGGGTCTATACTGTACTATATATATATATATATATATATATATATATATTATATATATATATTATATATATATATATATATAAGCACGCCACATGGAGATAGAAATCTTTAGCTCAAGATCTTTCTCACTCTCGTTCGTCGTCAGGAGCTATGCAATGTTGCAAAACAGCAACAGGTAAGAGGGGATTATTATTATTATAATAAAAAAGAAGTGCTAAACCACAAGGGGAAATTCTCTGAGGCAAGACAGAAGGTATCAGTGGCAGCCCATAACCCCACCAACCCACACACCTTCCTCCCCCGTCCGCCTTACACGCTTCCAGGGTAACAGGAGGTGGAGGGACGACGGGGGCTCCCAGAAAGCAAGTAACATAAAATTAAAGAAACGCAGTAGTCAGTCCAGAAACCACATCTAATCGATATCAACTGATCTATTGCCATACCGAATCATTTTACTCAAGCTTTATGTACCATCGCATTTTTAAACGAATCAGATTAACTAGTTGGCAACCTATACTATCCTACCTCAGAATGTTCCAGAAAGTGCCAACATGTTTACCGACATATTTACCTAATACCTATCCTGCTCCATTATAACTGCACTGTTTCTTCACACTAGGACACCAGAGGAGAGGATAGCCTAGGGAAGGCAGGTAAAGTGATTGATCTCCTCTGGTAACCTAGTGTGAAGAAACAGTGCAGTTGTCATGGAGCAGGATAGGTAACAGTAGGTAAATATATTGGTAAACATGTTGCCACCTTCTGGAACATCCTGACGTAGGACAGTATAAGTTGCCAACTAGTTAATCTTCGTTTAATAATGCGATGCCATATAAAGAAATCTGGCAAGCTTGGCTTTCTTGAGTTGTTAAGACAACAGACTCCTGCATTATTATCGTACTCTTTGCTACTTACATTTGTATTTTTTTCCTTTCAGTCCTATCTGTCATTATCCTTACATATGTCAAAGCCATGTCGATGCTTCGTTCCCGTAGGTCAGGGTAATCAAATGAATGGGTATTAATTTGTAAAGTCAATACTGCAAGTCATACGAGGATAGAAAGACAAGCAAACGTAGAGAGATCCACTGCCGTGAGACACAAGGATTAGAAGGTAAGAGGTCGGGCATGTCTTAACGTGTGTTTGAGATGGAGATTACAATAGTACCAAGAGAAACTGAAGATAAAGCAGCGCTGATAACAGTGACTGGGAGAGATCATAGTAAAGCATGCAGAAAAAAGCAAATATAGAAAACTGCAGAGAAAGGAAGTTACGTGAAACATAATATTTTTTCTCTTAAGACTGCCATTAAGAAGAAAATTACGCACATGTATTTGCCTGCCATCCCTGATGAGTTTTCTAATGCAGTTGAAGCACATAGCGAAACACATGCCTCCCAGCAGACCGCAACCCAACGTCAGGATGATGATGATGTGCTCTGAGCGGATGTCGAACTTCAGCTTCTTCAGTGACTGTACGTAAGGGGAAGAGAATCATGTATCATGCATAGTGGGAACAATATTATCATGCACAAGCTTATTTTCCTGTTGAGAAAGTGCAATAATATCAATATGTTCTCTTCTTAATTCACGTTCCCCTTCTTCTCCCTCTCTTATTTTTCCCTTCCTACTCAGTTTTATTTTTTTCAAATTCATCTCACCTCTTCTCGCTGTAACTTTTCCATACCTTGCTGTCTACTCTTCACCTCCACCACCTTTCCCTCTCCTCATATCCTCCTTCCCCTCTTCTAAGTCCTTTCACTCCTAATTCCTTCACCCCCTCTTTCTCTCTCCCTCCCATTCGTTTAATTCTACAACATAACTCTTCCCATATGCCACAATAAAACTAATTTTGAGATAAAAATAATAAACATGTTGATAACTCCTTCCTCTTTAAGAGGTGTAAATGATTCACAGAGAAGCCACTTTAATGCTTGCCAAGCAACAATATGACACCAGAGGCACATCTCAGAGTTTGCCAAGCAACAATATGACGCAAGAGGCACACTTCAGAGCTTGCCAAGCAACAATATGACACCAGAGGCACACCTCAGAGCTTGCCAAGCAACAATACGACACCAGAGGCACACCTCAGAGCTTGCAAACAACAATATGACACCAGAGGCACACCACAAAGCTTGCCAAGCAACAATATGACACCAGAGGCACACCTCAGAGCTTGCCAAGAAACCAATGACACACACACACTAAAGCCTGATAAGTAACAGTATGACAAAATAAGATATAATTCTCTCAAAGAAGCCTGTGGAGAACTCCCATCCCCACCCACCATCCCACCCCCGAGGCCGTCGTACCGACAAATATATTTCCAAATTACGAAATGGTGGAAGAGGAGGGGGCATAAAGAATACTCCGACGACAAAATAGGAAGGAAATTGTGTTTCGAAATGAACAGAGCACTGTACCCAAGAGAAGGGTAAGAAGATACCCAAACACTCATACCAAACATTCAATACCTGTTTTGCTAGAAAGTTTGGGTTTGAGAAGACCTGCCTAGTATGGGCGAGTAGGCCTGTTGCAGTGTTCCTCCTTTCTTATGTCATCAAAATAAAAGCCAGAAATACCAACACATAATAAAACATAAATACGTTCAAACTAGGTTAAAAAAAATTCCCGTTTCAATTAAATAAATATTAATACAAAATTTCCCTTAGGTTCCAACTTTAACCGAAGCATTCATAAAAAAAACGAATCAGTCGAAGCCACTGGCAAACTGTGGCACAATCAGTGAGCCATTAAAAGTTGCACAGAAGTGTGGAAGATTTCCTGCAAGCAGGTGCCCCTATGTGTATCCTGTCCAGGGTGCACAATGTGTGTTGACTGAGGGTCAAACACATTCATCCTGGCGGAAAAACACTGAGTCGAGCAAGGCACCAGGAGTGGCGACCCCATCAATGGTAGGAGAGTGAGCCAGAGCTGCTTCACCTGCGGGAGCCGCGACGACAGTACAGAATACTGGGAAAAGGGGTCCTGATATCGGCAGATATAAAAATATGTAAAGAAAATAAAGGAGAGCAGAAGAAAATGGAAATATTGGGACAGAGAGAGAGAGAGAGAGAGAGGGAAGGAAAAGAGAGAGGGGAGGGAAGAGATAGAGGGGAGGGAAGAGAGAGAGGGGAGGGAAGAGAGAGAGAGGGGAGGGAAGAGAGAGAGGGGAGGGAAGATAGAGAGAGAGACAGAGAAGAGAGAGAGCAAACTTAAGAAATTAAAAAAAAAAAAAATCTTTCAGTGCGGAGTATGCAACAACCCGAAATTTATTACCAAGTCTCCAACATCCAACCAAATATAACTCACATACCGATTTCCCCGCCAGTAATCCATACTCTGTCCAGGGTACATTACCCTGAATGACACACAGTGAACCAATTAAACAAGACAAGCCTCAACCAGAAGGAACACCGGGAGTCGCATACCTGGATTCACAGGCAACCTTCAATAGCATTTCTGTAGTTCAGTTCTCACTGAGTTAAGCCACCAGAGAACCAGAATTGGTGGTTACGACAGCCCCTTTCCAAATCCCCTGAAGCACAGTATTTCTTTTTTTTTTATGAAGGGATATCTGTCCCTGAAATTTTGGCCAAAACAAATGAAGGGAGACTGAGGGAAGAGGATATGACACTCGCTTCAAACTGTGGGATCAGTTTCAAAAACATGACGATAGGAAGGGACAGAAGGTATCATAAATCACTGACTTTCTGTCCACAACAAGGCCACTAGAGATGGTGCCAAAGACAAATTTAGAAAAATGATTTAGCTTGTCATTTCCCTACCTCTTCTTCCCTCCCTTTCACAATATATTTTTTTCTTACGCCTCTTCGTCTATTCCATACTTCCAGTTCTCTCTCATCACATATAGACTACATCCATTCTCTCTTCTACTCTTCCCATTTCTCCTCATTATACTACATCTTCTTTCAACCCTTTCTAGAGAGGTACAACATTTGGTAAAAATAACTCGAACAAAAGCATTCTTAGTCTTTTTTACAACTGGTGACTTAGAAATTTTATCTTATAATAATATAAACACCACTAACGTTAAGTTAATGTAAAGAGAAGTTAGGTTACCATCTGCGAACTGAAGAGCAAGTGAAGACAGATATCTTGTGAAGGCAAGTGTGACACCCACCATCGCCACCCTGGGAGACTACAGCCATTACCACCACCCTGGGAGACTACTACCATCACCACCACCCTGGGAGACTACTACCATCACCACCACCCTGGGGGACTACTACCATCACCACCTTGGGGGACCACCACCGTCACCACCCTGGGGAACCACTACCATCACCACCCAGGGGACCACTACCATCACCACCCTGGGGAACCACTACCATCACTACCTTGGGGGACCACCACCACCATCAACACCACCCTAGGGAGCCACCACCCTGGGAGACTACTACCATCACCACCACCCTGGGAGACTACTACCATCACCACCACCCTGGGGGACTACTACCATCACCACCTTGGGGGACCACCACCGTCACCACCCTGGGGAACCACTACCATCACCACCCAGGGGACCACTACCATCACCACCCTGGGGAACCACTACCATCACTACCTTGGGGGACCACCACCACCATCAACACCACCCTAGGGAGCCACCACAATGGGGGACTACTACCATCACCACATCACCACACTGGGGGACCATCACCACCATCACCCTGGGGGGCCACTACCATCACCACCACCACCCTGGGAGTCTACTACCATCACCACCACTTTGGGAGTCTACTACCATCACCACCACCCTGGGGGACTACTACCATCACCACCCTGGGGGACCACCACCTTCACCACCCAGGGGGACCACTATCATTACAACCCTGGGGAACCACTACCATCACTACCTTGGGGGACCACCACCACCATTAACACCACCCTAGGGGACCACCACCATGGGGGACTACTGCCATCACCACATCACCACACTGGGGGACCACTACCATCACCACCCAGGGGATCACTACCATCACCACCCATGGGAACCACTGTCATCACTTCCTTGGGGGACCACCACCACCACCACCACCAACACGACCCTAGGGGACCACCACCATGGGGGACCACTACCATCACCACCCTGGGGGACCATCACCACCACCACCACCCTGGGGGACCACTACCATCACCACCACCCTGGGGGACCACTACCATCACCACCACCCTGAGGGACCACCACCACCGGCCACCCTGGGGCACCATCATCACCACCCTGGGGGACCACCACCACCATCACCCTGGGGAACCACCATCACCACCCTGGGAGACCATCACCACCACCTTGGGAGACTACCACCACCCTGGGGGATCACCACCATCACCACCTAGTTGGACCATTACCACCACCATCCTGGTGGACCACTACCACCACCCTGGGGGACCACTACAATCACCACCCTGGTGGACCACCACCCTGGAGGATCACTACCATCACCAGCACTACCCTGGAGAACCACCACCGTCACCACCCTGCGGTACCACTACCATCACCACCCTGGGGGATTGCTACCATCACCACCACCACCCTGAAGGACCACTACCATCACTACCCTGGGGACCACTACCATTATCACCACCCTGGGAGACCACTACCATCACCACCCTGGGGGACCACTACCATCACCGCCACTCTGGGGGACCACCACCTCCCTGTGGGACCACCACTATCACACCCACCGCCATCACCCTGTGGGATCACAACGCTCACCACCCACCGCCACCCTGTGGGATCACTATCACCACCCACCACCCTGTAGGATCACCACTATCACCACCCTGTGGGATCACCACTATTACCACCCTGTGGGACCACCACTATAACCACCCACCACCACCCTGTTTGATCACCACTATCACCACCCACCACCACCAACCTGTGGGACCACCACTATCACCATCTACCACTATCCTGTGGAACCACCAATATCACTATCCACCACCCTGTGGAACCGCCACTATGACCACATACCACCACCACCCTGTGGGACCACGACTATCACACCCACCACCATCACCCTGTGGGATCACCAGTATCGCCACCCACTACTTTGTGGGTTAACCACTATCAACACCCACCACTACCCTGTGGGACCTCCACTATCACCACCCACCACCGCCACCCTGTGGGTCCACTACTATCACTACCCACCATCATCCAGTGGGACAACCACTACCACTATCCACCACTACTAACCTGTGGGAACACCACTATCACCACCCACCACCATCACCCTGTGGGACGATCATCAGTATCACCATCCACCACCCAGTAGGACCACCACTATCACCACCCACCACCACCACGCAGTGGGACCACCACTATCACCACCACCCTGTGGGACTACCAGTATAACCACCTACCCTCACCATCCTGTGGGACCGCCACTATCACCACCCACCACCATCCGGTAGGACCACCACCACTCAGTGGGACCAACACTATCACCACCACCCAGTGGGATCACCACTATCACCACCACCCAGTGAGACCACCACTATCACCACCACCCAGTGGGACCACCAGTATCACCACCGCCCAGTGGGAACACCACTATCACCACCACCCAGGGGGATCACCACTAAGACCACCACCACTGTGGAACTACCATTATCACACCCACCACCACCCTGTGAGACCACAACTATTACCCCCACCACCACCCTGTGAGACTACCACAATCACACCCACCATCACCACCCTGTGGGACTACCACAATCATACCCACCACCATCACCCTGTGGGACCACCATAATCAAACCCACCAGCAACTCCCTGTGGGGACAAGCATTATTACTTCCACCACCACCCTGTGGAACTACAACTATCACAAGCATCACCACAACCCTGTGGGACTACCATTATCACACCCACCATCACCACCCTGTGGGACTACCACTATCGCACCTTGTGCAATACTCACGTTGCAACCCCAACACAACACTGACAATACTCACGTTATAACCCCAACACAACACTGACAATACTCACGTTACAACCCCTACACAACACTGGCAATACTAACGTTACAACCCCAATACAACACTGACAATACTCACGTTACAATCCCAACACAACACTGGCAATACTAGCGTTACAACCCCAACACAACACTGACAATACTCACGATATAACCCCAACACAACACTGGCAATACTCAAGTTACAGCCATAAACCAACACTGGTAATACTCAAGTTACAACCCCAACACAACACTGGCAATACTCAAGTTACAACCCCCACACAACACTGGCAATACTCACGTTACAACCCTCCTCGTCGTACTCGTGGCGACAATTTCTGATACCATTACACCTGAGGGAGTAGTGGATACAGGTAGCATCGTCACAGTCATATTCCGTGTCGAAACATTGCTGGGTCTCGTCTGTACAACACAAACAAATGTTAACATCCACTCTTTAAACACACCTTCATTATTATTATTTATTTCGTAGGGAATTGCAGGACTACAGAGTATGATAGAGCATCCGGGGAATGGAAAGTAGTGAGGCTGGATCTAAGGAAGGATTGGGATAATCCAATTTTTGGTTCATCGCCAGCATCAGTTCTGGAGGAATTAACGCAGGGCAGTTTTCTCACACTAGTGTGAGAACCTAAATAAATCTTGGTAATAGATACCGACAAATTGGTTTAGAAAGGCATGTGAGCAAACACCAGAACATATTTATTAGAAAATGTATCGGTCCTGGAACCTTGATCACTTCTAACATACAGAGGTTAAAAAAAGTTATGAAAGTTCCAGGACCGGAACGTTTTGTAATTAATATGTCCTAGTGTTTGCTCATGAGTCTTTCTAAACCAACCTAAATCATGTTTAAGACACTCCTTTTGATAACATTTTGAGTATAAATGGTAGAAAAGCACTTTTTTTTATCAAAGACAAGAAAAAAAAAGTGAGTATGTTTATTCTTCATGGGGTCTTCAGGCGGACTGAGGTCATGTCACCTGCAGGAATCACACTGGTGTTGTGTTTCTCGTAAACACTGGTTTTCTGCCATGGGTGTAATGTATTTATTCCAGTACGTTTGAAGGAGTGTAGATAAATAGATCAGAGAACCGACAAATTGATAAATTAGACACTTGTGCAACACTTGGGAATTGAAGAATGGTGGAGATCTTCACCAATCTTTATAATGGACTAATGAAGTTACTGTATGGCAAAACGTTTCTTCAGAAGAGATACGTGTCTAATTTACCAATTGGTGAAGAAGTTTGTGGTACACCATCAACGTTCCCACAGTCTTAAACTTTGACAAAAAATCACTATTAATGTGCCGTTATTAGAGAACGGAAAATGGAGCCTCCATCACTCCATTCGGGGAATGACTCACACGCGTCTAAGCTCTTCAAAGATCTAATTCTAGTGCATCAATAATTAATGAAAGAAGATCCTTTACATTATTATAACCATGAGGCACTAAAGACGCAAAGTTCATAAAGCGACTGTGGGAATAAGAGAACTTCAAGCCTGATCCGAGGAAACGGAGAGCAGCCCCATCTTGGATCAAGAGCCTTGCCACCCTCCTTGAAGGATAGAAGAGATAAATTGATTCCCCTGCCACAAGGCAGTTGAGGCCTCACCGTCGTTGTCTTGAATGCGGTCCCTGAAGGCGGTGAACCAGGCCCTGAACTTCGACTTGAGGGCCTTCTTGACGGCGAAGAAGCGAAAGTGCATGAGGTTGCCGTTGGTAACGAAGGGGTCGGCCACGGAGCCACAGTAGTGCTGGAGGCGGTTCCTCAAGTCTGTCTCCTTGCCGAAGATGTCGACGTAGTTCATATCACACTCGTTAGGCTCTTGTAGCTCGAAGGTCTCAAAGAACATGTAGATCTGTGGAGAACAAAATGTAGATCTGTGAAGGAGAACAACACGTAGATTTGTGGAGGAGAACAACATGTAGATCTGTGGAGAACAGCATGTAGATCTAAGAGAAGAACATTGACGTTGATCTGTGGAAGAGAACATGTAGATCTATGGAAAAAAAACAAATCTCTGGTGGAGGAGATGTAGCTCTGAGGTGGAGAACATGTAGATGTGTGGTAAAGAGCATGTAGATCTGCCGTGGAGGAAAACATTTAGATCTGTGGTGAAGAACATGTAAATCTGTGGTAAGAATCTACAGTCCCTTTGTTTTCCGTCGCCCATTCGTTTACCAAATCATCACCCTATCCCTCTTCTCCCTCTTACAGTAATAGCTGTACATGAGTGGTATACAATAAAGACAAGATGATGAATTAGACACATGAGCAACATCTGGGTATCTTTATTATGTAAAAGAAGAACGCTGCTACTAACAACCCAGCTGCCACCTGGGCTCTTTAAACAACGAGAAGATGCATCTTGGACGCTGCGCGATTGTAGAAAGGCATCTTCTTATTCCTCAACTTCAGTCCACGCTGAAAAAGTAGTGTAGGGTGGTCATAACACATTCCAATGCAGCAAAAAATAAAATATATACGTGTTTGTCCTTGCATATGAATTTTTATACGTATGTGCACTTTCATTGGCGTACGTGTGTGTACGTATGAATACATAAGTATGTATGTGTGCTTTCATATATGTAAATTTTTTGTATGTATATACTGTATATAAATGTGTATAAGTACGTGTACACATACTAAAGTAGATCGAGTGGTTTAGTAGATCGAGAATTATTAACTTTATACGCTGAATAACCCACAAACGTTCAGTGCTCTACATGAGCTAAAATGAAGAAATATCTAAAATCTTTACAAGGTATTGTGTGATCTGTCTTCTACACACTGGAGACCATACTGAAACTGCTGTAAGACAGTACGGTATTTACAACAATGTCCTGCAGAGAGACACCCACTCGGTTAAATTTTCTTGGTAAGTAATAGTATTTACATTAACTAAAGTCTCAGGCCACACTGGACTCCAGACTCTAAAGCTGCTTTGCATTAGGTCTGTTTGCCCTGAGAAAACTAAGAATGGGCCGCAGGGTGGCATCCCAGCAACCATCAAGGAAATCACTCGCTTCTCACCTACGAGAGCCAGGCTGGGAGATTTCCTGTGCGCGCTTGCATGCGTTTACACACGTAGTTTATTCTACAATTAGTATGATTTACGTCAATACTGATCTTAAGATATAGGTTGTGATCTCCCATTTATCAACACGAAACCTTTTGTTGCAACAAATGACTTGTATTTAAGTATCTACCACTGGGTGAATTACCCTGATTGATTTTTTTTATACATTATTTCACCCCATCCCCTCTTTTCCTGCCCGACACACACATACACCTATCCACACATACACATACATCCATACATAGCTTTAAGAAACGGTACGATAAAACTCTTGGAGCAGGTAAAGAGTGGACTTAATAGCGACCAGCGAAGAGGCGGGGCCAGGAACTGTGAGTCAACCCCTGCAACTACATATAGGTGAGTACACACTCGTGCGCGCGCGCAACACACACACACACACACACACACACACACACACGATTGCCAAGAGCTGAGTCTCAACCCCTGCAACCACAATTGGTGAGTATGAGTACGTGAGGTTCGTAATTTTAGCATAATGCAAGGTGAAAACTGAGTGAGGTCTGTCCAAATGTGAGCTTTACCAGGCAAGTCATTAATGAGGCCCCCCAAAAATATAACCAGAGTGAATATGAAAGAATATCAAGGAGAAAGTGCAGCTAGTGAGAGTGCAGGAAGTGAGGGGTTAGTGTCAGCTAGTGAGAGTGCAGGAAGTGAGGGGTCAGTGCCAGCTAGTGAGAGTGCAGGAAGTGAGGGGTTAGTGCCAGCTAGTGAGAGTGCAGGAAGTGAGGAGTTATTGCCAGCTAGTGAGAGTGCAGGAAGTGAGGGGTTAGTGCCAGCTAGTGAGAGTGCAGGAAGTGAGGGGTTAGTACCAGCTAGTGAGAGTGCAGGAAGTGAGGGGTCAGTGCCAGCTAGTGAGAGTGCAGGAAGTGAGGGGTTAGTGCCAGCTAGTGAGAGTGCAGGAAGTGAGGGGTTAGTACCAGCTAGTGAGAGTGCAGGAAGTGAGGGGTCAGTGCCAGCTAGTGAGAGTGCAGGAAGTGAGGGGTTAGTGCCAGCTAGTGAGAGTGCAGGAAGTGAGGGGTTAGTACCAGCTAGTGAGAGTGCAGGAAGTGAGGGGTCAGTGCCAGCTAGTGAGAGTGCAGGAAGTGAGGGGTTAGTGCCAGCTAGTGAGAGTGCAGGAAGTGAGGGGTTAGTACCAGCTAGTGAGAGTGCAGGAAGTGAGGGGTCAGTGCCAGCTAGTGAGAGTGCAGGAAGTGAGGGGTTAGTGTCAGCTAGTGAGAGTGCAGGAAGTGAGGGGTCAGTGCCAGCTAGTGAGAGTGCAGGAAGTGAGGGGTTAGTGCCAGCTAGTGAGAGTGCAGGAAGTGAGAGGTTAGTGCCAGCTAGTTAGAGTGCAGGAAGTGAGGGGTCAATGCCAGCTAGTGAGAGTGCAGGAAGTGAGGGGTCAGTGCCAGCTAGTGAGAGTGCAGGAAGTGGGGGGTCAGTGCCAGCTAGTGAGAGTGCAGGAAGTGAGGGGTCAGTGCCAGCTAGTGAGAGTGCAGGAAGTGAGGGGACAGTGCCAGCTAGTGAGAGTGCAGGAAGTGAGAGGTTAGTCCCAGCTAGTGAGAGTGCAGGGAGTGAGGGGTTAGTGCCAGCTAGTGAGAGTGCAGGAAGTGAGGGGTCAGTGCCATCTAGTGAGAGTGCAGGAAGTGAGGGGTTAGTGTCAGCTAGTGAGAGTGCAGGAAGTGAGGGGTCAGTGCCAGCTAGTGAGAGTGCAGGAAGTGAGGGGTTAGTGCCAGCTAGTGAGAGTGCAGGAAGTGAGGGGTTAGTACCAGCTAGTGAGAGTGCAGGAAGTGAGGGGTCAGTGCCATCTAGTGAGAGTGCAGGAAGTGAGGGGTTAGTGTCAGCTAGTGAGAGTGCAGGAAGTGAGGGGTCAGTGCCAGCTAGTGAGAGTGCAGGAAGTGAGGGGTTAGTGCCAGCTAGTGAGAGTGCAGGAAGTGAGGGGTTAGTGCCAGCTAGTGAGAGTGCAGGAAGTGAGGAGTTAGTGCCAGCTAGTGAGAGTGCAGGAAGTGAGGGGTCAGTGCCAGCTAGTGAGAGTGCAGGAAGTGAGGGGTTAGTGCCAGCTAGTGAGAGTGCAGGAAGTGAGGGGTCAGTGCCAGCTAGTGAGAGTGCAGGAAGTGAGGGGTCAGTGCCAGCTAGTGAGAGTGCAGGAAGTGAGGGGTCAGTGTCAGCTAGTGAGAGTACAGGAAGTGAGGGGTTAGTGTCAGCTAGTGAGAGTGCAGGAAGTGAGGGGACAGTGCCAGCTAGTGAGAGTGCAGGAAGTGAGGGGTCAGTGCCAGCTAGTGAGAGTACAGGAAGCGAGGGGTCAGTGTCAGCTAGTGAGAGTACAGGAAGTGAGGGGTCAGTGCCAGCTAGTGAGAGTACAGGAAGCGAGGGGTCAGTGCCAGCTAGTGAGAGTACAGGAAGTGAGGGGTCAGCGTCAGCTAGTGAGAGTGCAGGAAGTGAGGGGTCAGTGCCAGGTAGTGAGAGTACAGGAAGTGAGGGGTCAGCGTCAGCTAGTGAGAGTACAGGAAGTAAGGGGTCAGCGTCAGCTAGTGAGAGTGCAGGAAGTGAGGGGTCAGCGTCAGCTAGTGAGAGTACAGGAAGTGCCAGAAAGTTGTCTTGAGGAATGTTAGGAAGCTCAAAGTGGGAAAGGAATATGTAAAATCTGAAGTGGGTTGCTCGTGGCTCAGTTGGTAGTGGCTTGAATTTACTCACTGACGGATCAGGGTTCGACCCCCAGACGAGTGGAAACGTTGGAAATGTTTCTTTCCACCTGTTGCACCTGATCACCGAGCAGTAAGTAGGTACCTGCGTATTAGTCGACTGGTGTGGGTCGCATCCTGGGAGGAGAGGATTAAAAGATCCCGGCGGAAATAAGCCAGTCTGACAATATGGCTTGACTAGGTTATCCTGGATAAATTAACTCAAGCAGAAACTTCTACTTTAATTATATTCTGAAGACAATATTTAAGCCCACCGTTTTGATAATTATATTTTCTATAAGCCGAGGAACAGAAAACGATAAATTTAACCTAAACTAAGTAATTTGTAAGCAAGTTTTTCTTAGTAGAGAGTAACTAAGTTTATTTAAGCACAGTTTTATACAGTTCTTAGATTACAATTGTCTTACATGGTAATATATGTATAAATTATCTAGGTTAATAAAAAAAAGGTCAGACTGTGACTTAGTTCCATTAGGGTCCTCCTAACACCTAAGTAAGTTTATTCAGGTGTAGGGACACATAAATTATCATACACAGTATTATATGTGTAGATTACCTTACATAACCCAGTCAGACTTATTTCCATTGGGGCCTTTGTAATAAAAGGAGATCTGCGCTGTATGACCGTGTAGGTTTAGCGCTTTTTTATTATACCTGGAGAGGGTTTCGAGGGGTCAACGCCCCCGCGGCCCGGTCTGTGACCAAGCCTCATGGTGGATCAGGGACTGATCAACCAGGCTGTTACTGTTGGCCGCACGTCAACCGACATTCGAACCGCATCCCGGCTGATCAGGTACCAACTTCAGGTGCCTGTCCAGTGCCTTCTTGAAGACAGCCAGGGGGTCTACTGGTAATCCCCCTTTTGTATGCTGGGAGGCAGTTGAACAGTTTTGGACCCCTGACAGTTATTGTGCTCTCTTGTCGTGTTAGTGGCGCCGCTGCTTTTCATTGGGGAATGTTGCATCTCCTGCCGAGTCTTTTGCTTTCATAGGGAGTGATTTTCGTGTGCAAGTTTGGCACTAATTTCTCTACGATAATAATAATAATAATAATAATAATAATAATAATAATAATAATAAT